GCGTGGAGTGATATCTTTCTTGGAGAGGATGGAGGAGACGATGGTGTTGTCGGTGCGGATGGTGAAGTATTGCCCGTCGAGGTACGGGCGCCAGACTGTGAGGGCATGAATCACGGCGAGGAGTTCCTTCTCGTTGGAGGGGTAATTCATCTCCGCGGGAAGGAGCTTCTTGCTTGCGAAGGCAATAGGGTATTCGCCAGGTGGAGCCTTAGGGTGAGTGGGCGAGTCCTTGATGGGGAGGGTCTCGGGGGTGTCGCGGGGGAATGTTGGGACAGTACGGCTCCGATGGCGAAGTCGGAGGCGTCAGTGGTGACATAGAAATGGCGAGTGGGGTCGGCGATCTTGAAGACAGGGGCCGTGGTGATGGTTTGCTTGAGTAAGTCGAAAGCTTGTTGGCGGCGATCGTTCCAATGGAAAGGCTCGTCCTTGCGGGTGAGTTCGTGGAGAGGGTACGAGATCTCGGAAAAGTTGCGAATGAACGGGCGGTAATAGTTGGCAAGGCCAAGGAAGGAACGGAGTTGGAGGAGGGTCTTGGGTGGGGGGTACTCGACGAGGGCTGTGACCTTCGAGGGGTCCATACGGATGCCTTCAGCGGAGACAATATGGTCGAGGTATTCGACGCTCGAAGCGGCAAACGTACATTTGCTGAGCTTGGCATAGAATTTTTGCTCTCGAAGGATCGCGAGGACTTGGCGGAGGTGCTGAAGGTGGGACTCGAAGGTGGGGCTGAAGACAAGCATGTCATCAAGGTAGACAACGACACAGACTTCGAGGAGGCTGCGGAAGATGTGGTTCATGGTGGATTGGAAGGTAGCGGGCGCATTGGTGAGTCCGAATGGCATCACGAGGAACTCGTACTGCCCGAACCGAGAGCGGAAGGCGGTCTTGTGGGTGTCCTCCTCGCGGATACGGATCTGGTGGAAACCACTACGAAGGTCGATCTTGGTAAAGTACTTAGCTCCACGGAGACGATCAAGGAGCTCGGAAATCCGAGGTAGGGGGTACTTTTTCTTGATCGTGATCCGGTTCAAGGCGCGGTAGTCTGTGCACATGCGGAGTTCCGAAGTTCCACCTTTCTTGACGAAAATGCAGCTGGTTCCGAAGGGGGATGAACTTGGCTTAATGAACCCTTTTTCAAGGAGTTCACYGAGTTGCCGTTTCATTTCTTCGGCTTCGGGGACAGAGAGTTGGTATGGAGGGCGGCAAGGTGGAGAATGTCCGGGTTCCGAATCGATGGTATGCGATACGCCACGATCCGGAGGTAGTCCGGCGGGTAAGGACTCGGGAAAGACGTCCCTGAACTCGTCGAGGATTGAAGTGATAGCAGGGTTGGAGGGCGGGGCTTGATCGGGTTTGTCCGTCGGGAGTAAGTCCTTGGGACTTTCGTGATCAAGGACAAGACAGTAGTAGGCGGAGTCGGGGTTTAGGCGAGCCATGTGGAGGAWTTGGTGCGGGGTGACAGAGCCTTGGGAGGTCGGATATGGGAGATAGGGGATGTCAATGCTTGTGTCGGGGGGGTTGGTGAGGCGAAGGAAGTTACGGTGGAATGCGTATGGCATGTAGCGGTCCAGCCACGGGGTTCCTAAGACGATGTCGCACATCAAGTGCATGACATCAAACGAGACCTGACTGCGGAGGGTTCCGATGGTCATGATGGTCTCGGGAACCGTGCGGTCTACTACGACGGCGGTGTCTTTGTCCCCTAGGCGAATCGTGATCGGGGAGTCATAGCCAGAATACGTAAGACCGGCTTTGCGGACACACGCGTCGGTGATGAAGTTACCGGTGGCTCCAATGTCGAGGAGGGCCCGAAACTTAGTTGTAGAGGCACCAAGGGTGGCAGCGATGAATTTGAGGTGGAAACGAGATGAGTTGGCGGTGGAGATGATGGTGTTGAGGCGGCGTTGTTCGTTGCCTACGCGAACAAGCCGATCGTGTCGGGCTTGTTCCTCAACAACATCAGAGAAGGTGATAGTGGATGCATTTGGAGGAAGGGTAGAGGAGCATGAGGCAGTGGGAGGTGTTCGCGATGCCTGGGAATCGTCCGGTGGAGGGGGCGTCGCCGGAGAGGGGGAAGGCAAACGAATTGTCGATGTCAGATGGGCCATCGGTGCGACGAAGGATGTCACTGATGGGCAGGCTTACAGATGCAATGTTGATGTCGGGTCAGTGTCCTGGGGACTGTGTTCATGATGAGGAGCGGCCCGCGCTTGCCGAGGGCAGTGATGCGGAGGTTGCGGGTCGCGTGGAGGCGGACTGACGGGTGAATCGTGTGGTGTTGGGGCAGTTGGTTTGTTGGTGCCCCAATTGCCGACAACGGAAGCAACCCCCTTTTGCTTGGAGGTAGGTGCGCTCCTCGGGGGTGAGTTTCTTGAGGCGGGAGGGTGGAGTAGATGAGGGTGGTCGGGAGCTGCGATCTCTGCGCTCCATTCTCATGAACAGGACGACATCGAGTTCCTCAGAAGTGAGGGATGAAGAGTCGAGTGAATCGAAAGACGCGTTGGGGTCAGATGTGGTGAGCTCGTCTGAGGAAGTGATGGAGGTGGTGTCTTCGGGGGTGATGTGGTGGAAAAAGCRGGTGCGGGAGGTGCCGGGGGGGGCCTGGTGGTGGGGGTGGAGGAGTCGATTGTGGTGGAGCATGCGAGAGAGGAGGTCAGCAAGGGGCATGTCGGGTTCGTGGGCCAGGGCGGTTGCAAGGTCTTCGTGGCATACTCGTTTGATGCGGGAGATGAACGCACAGTCGGGAATGACGGTGTGGGGGAGGTGGTGTCGGAGGGGGAGCAGACATATTGGACGAAGCGGTCCGTGGGACCGGTCTGGCGGAGGTGGCAGAATTGTTCAAGGTGGTCGTCAATGGTTTTCTGGGGGCGGAAGGTGGCAGTGAGGAGGGTGGCCCATTGGAGGAAGGTGGGGCGTGGTCCTCCAGAGGCTCGGTGGTTGCTAGCTTCAGCCATCCACCATTTGGCTGCATTGCCGAGGAGGCGGGAGGTGGCAATGGGGAGCCAGTGGGCAAGGGGCATGTGGTGGAGCTGAAAAGAGTTTTGAAGCTGGGTTAGGAAGAGGAAAACGTCCTCGTGGGGGAGGCCGGAGAAGGACATGATTTCGAAAGATCGGAAGGAACGGGGGATTTCCCCGTCGCRGTGAACGATCTGCGCGAGGGTGTTGAAGCTGAGGTTATCGGGGGTGGTGTCGTAGCAGGTGTGGTCGATTTGGTTGTTGTCCTCAAGGAGGTAGTTGGGTGGAAGTTGTGGCATTGCGGGGAAGGCCCCGRAGGTGACTTGGGAATAGGTGGGACGGATGGTGGGGATGGTGGAGGTGGTCATGATGGGTTGGGAGAGGGTTTGGGAGTGCGGGGGGTGAAGAGGGGTGACTTTGATGGGCGGGGAATGAGGCGGTGTGCTGGATGCACCGGATGAGGGAGAAGGTGGAGGGAACGGAACGATGGTGGGGATTGAAGGGTTGGTGGATA